GACTTCGCGGGACCCCCGCGACCTTGCACCCCTTCCCTTTTCTGGGTGCACCAGCTCCACCTTCGCCCCGGCCGGGGCACAGGAGCCTCGGTACCCATGGTTCCCCACCTCCCGACACGCCAAACCTCGGGCATCCCCTTCCCCCGCCGGCCTCGCCGCTCTCGCCGACCTGTCCGTGCACCCAGCGGCACCACGTTCCGGGTTGCCCTTTGCAGCCACCGGATCCCCAGGACCCCTGCCCTGGCCGCCGCCATCTTCACCTTCTCCGCCTACGCCCCGCGCATGCGCAAAAGCCCGCGCGGCGGCAGAGCCGGGCCCAGCGCGACGGGAGGAGCCGGCGCCGCGGAAGTGTTCGGGGCTCCCCGGGGGCGGGGTTGTAGAACCCAGGTGGGCAGCCCGCCGGGAGGACGCTTGGCTAGGGGCTGGGAACCGCCGCGGGAAGGAGAGAGGAGCAGGCAGGTCGCGTCTTTGGTATTTCAGATTCGTGTGCCTCTTCTCCCTCAGCTGACTTACACCCATCCAGGGACTCTCGGGGCACGGTGGCCCACCTCTCCCAGGGACTCTCGGGGGACAGTGACATCCCTCTCCCAGGGACTCTCGGGGGACAGTGACATCCCTCTCCCAGGGACTCTCGGGGGACAATGACATCCCTCTCCCAGGGACTCTCAGGGAACAGTGACATCCCTCTCCTAGGGACTCTGGGGGTCGATGGCCCACCTCTCCCAGGGACTCGGGAGGGGGGGGACAGTGGCCCACCTTTTCCAAGGCCCCCCAGGTGGCAGTGAGCCATCTCTCCCAGGACTCCTGGGGATGGGGGCCCTTCTGTCCTCGGGACGCTGGGGGACAGTGGCCCCCTCTCCCAGCATCTGTACTAGTAAAGTGAACCTGTCTGATTGTCTTCTCTGCTGCTTGCCTTCTTCCTCTCCCCTGGGACTACTCGTTCTGTCCCCAAATGTGTTCATTCTTCAGACTCAGCCCTTGATCTTGCCTGCTCTAGTTCTGTTTTACAAACTGGCTAACCTTCACTTAGGTGCTCAGTGCAACACACAAATGGACCCCAAATTGGCTCCTCAGTGTCAGTCCGTGTTTGCCGGGAAATGTCCCACACCTCAATCCAACAGATGTAAAACTGAACCTGTCACCAGAAGCTACTCGGGCTTGCTAGGTCCTTGGATTTGCTAGGACTTGGATAAATAGATTTCAAACTGGCCCACAATGAACAGAGTTACTGAACAGAATGGAAGGTATTACTGTATTTGCTTACATATAAATGTTTTCACTTTGTTTGCACAAGTGGCATCTGAATCATTTATACATTATAGATATGCATATATTTTGAGAGATTTTTGCAATAGGGCCCACGTGCTTGCCAGAGAGACAGAGGGACAGAAAGTGAGAAATCACCCTCCAGGGGGGATGTCCACACCACAATCCCTTCTTCATTCTCCTCTCGGGATTTTGGGCATACACACACATATGCCCAGTGAGTTTTAAGCTGCCAGGTCTGGGACTCAAACCACGGTCCACTACTTGGGAGTTCAGCACCAGAACCATTATGCCTTCTACTGTCCCAATATGCATATATTTTCAGCAGCTTTTTGGGTGACCACTATTTTGGAGCAGAATCCATTATTATAGATTTTCTCAAATATGTATTAGAGCAACAAAAAATGATATATACTATTCAGTGTATAAATCCTGGGGTGTATACTTCACAGCAACTCTCAGACATGAGCATTACTGGTTGAAAACATCCGCATTCAACCAATAATAAACCCTGGTCTAATCCGGGTCAGGAAACAGAGTTGGGGGCCAGCCAGATGGTATGGTAGTTAAGGCAGCTGGATCCCAAATGGTTGACTGCATGGTTTTGACTGCAGTTTGAGTCCTGGATGTAGCAGCTTGGAAAACATGCTGGGCACATGTGGGTGCATGCCCAGAATCCTGAGAGGAGAAGGGACGATGACATGGCCATCCTCCCTCCTACCTCCAGGGACGGTTTCTCACTTTCTCCCCCTCAGTACTGCTCTCCAGCAAGTGCATGCATCCTATGGCAGACTTAAAACAAGAAAGTTGTTCTAATTGGTTTATTTTTATCATAAAATTCACCCTTGTAAAGAGTAAAGTGATTTGTTTACAAAGTTGTACGATCATCACCACTATCTAATTCTCAAACATTTGTCACCCTCCCCCCAAAAGACCACACTCACTAGCACATTTCTTCTTTCCCACCTCCTGGCGACCACTAACTATTTCCGTCTCTGTGGATTTGCCTATTCCGGATGTTTTATATAAGTGAATCATACAACATGTGGCCTTTACTGTCCATCTTCTCTCATTTAGCATGATGTTTTCATGGTTTGTCTGTGTTACAGCATAGATCAATACTTCATTCAGTTCATGGCCAAATAAGATTCCATTTTATGTATGTACAACAGTTTATTTAGCTATTCATCAGTAAATAGATGTTCAGGTTGTTTTCTGCTTTTTGGGTATTATAACTAATTCTGCTGTGACCATTCTTGTACAATTTTTAAGTTTTTTGCTATACATATGTGCTCATCAGAGAGAGAGAGAGAAAGAAAGAGAGTGGGAAAGTGAGAAGTCACCTCCCCTAGGGGGATGGCCATGCCACAATCCCGTCTCCTCCCTTTGCCTCTCAGGATTTTTTTTTTTTTTTTGGAGAGATTTTCGCTATAGGGCGCGTGTGCTCGCCAGACAGACAGAGAGAGACAGAGAGACAGAAAGCGAGAAATCACCCCCCAAGGGGGATGGTCACGCCACAATCCCTTCTCCTCCATTCTCCTCGGGATCTTGGGCACGCACACACATGTGCCCAGCGTGAGTTTTAAGCCACCGGGTCCGGGACGCGAACCACGGTCGACTATGTGGGAGTCCAGCGACATAGCCATTACGCTAACTGCTGGTTCCCTACCTCTCAGGATTTTGTGCATGCATTCACATGTACCTGGTCTGTTTACCAAGCTGCCAGGTCCAGGTCTTGAACCATACACTTGGCCATGTGGGATCCAGTCACCTTAACCACTATGACATCTGGCTGGCTCTCTTGTACAAATTTTTTAATACATGTATGATTTCAATTCTTTTGCATATATAGCTAAGAAATACTGGGTTGTTAGGAAATCTATATTTACTTTTTTTCAGTTTATTTACTTGCATTAGAGAGAGACAGAGACAGAGAGATAGATACTTGCAATAGGGCTTTTTTTTTTTTTTTTGAGAGAGAGAGATTTTTGCTATAGGGTATGAGTGCTCACTGGAGAGACAGAAAGTGAGAAATCCTCCCCCCAGGGGGGATGGTCATGCCACAGTCCTCTCTCCTCCTCTTGGGATTCTGGGCACACATGCATATATGCCCAGAGTGAGTTTCAAGCCAATGTGTCCACGACTTGAATCATGGTTCACTATGTGGGAGTCCAGCGCCTTAACCACTATGCCACTTGCTGGTCCCTGAAATAGGGCCTTTATACTACTATCCAACCGTAGTCTCAGCTGGCCCAGATCATGGGCATGTGAGTGCATGCCCAGCATGTTCAGGAAGGCTCCAGGATGTGTACCTAGGACCTTTCCATGTGAAATTGGCTGCTTTACCACTGTGCCACTAATTGTTTTTCAAAGCAGTTGCATCATTTTACATTTCCATCAGCTACATATGAGGATTCCAATTTCTCTATATCCCAACGCTTGCTGTATTGTTATTATACCCATCCTAGTAGTTATAAATGGTATCTCACCACCATTTTGATTTGCACTACCCTAATGACTACCAATGTAGAACTTTGGGCCAGCCTTGTAGCTCAATGGTTGAAGAAGCTAGATCCCAAACAGCTGATTACAGTTCCAGTCCTGGCACTGAAACACGTGCCAGGCACATGTTCATGTGTGCCCAGAATCCTGATGGGATAGAGGAATGGAGGAAGGGGAATTATACCATTGCTATAATGTCACGTCATGATCTTCCTGCCCTGTTGGGTGGTACTTTACTTTCTCTGTCTCTCTGAGTGGACGTGCCCTCTGACAATAAAGGGGAAAAATGTGGAGCAATGTTGAGCATCTTTTCACATGCTTATTTGGCACTGTCTGTCTCTGGCAAAATGTCTATTCAAGTCCTTTGTTCGTTTTTTAATTGAGTTGTCCTGGATGACTTGTAAAATTCTTTAAAGTATCCTAGATACTGTTCTCTTATCAGATACATGATTTTTAAATATTTTTTTCCCATTCTGAGCGTTGTCTTTTTTATTTTCTTGATGGTGTTGTTTGGAATCCTGTTTTAATTATGAGAGGATGAGTTTTTCAGAAACTTTTTCTGTCTATTGAAATGATTTTTTTTCTCCTTCTTCCATTAACATGGTGTATTACATTGATTGCTAGTGATTTCTGGAATAAATTCCACTTAGTCATGGTATATAATTTTTTTTTGTTACGTGTGTGTGTGTCTATTTTTTTTTTTTTTTTTGAGACAGGGTCTTGTCATTTCATGATCTTCCTGCCTCAGTCTCTCGAGTAGCAGGGACTAAAGGAGAACGCTACTGTGCCTGGCTTTTAGGGTAGGCTAGAATTGAAACTGGATCTTCCCGGTAGCCTCAGCCTGCTGAGTACCAGCATTCACCAGTGCTCACTACCAAGGCTGGGCCAAGGTTAATTCTTTTTTAAATGTTTGGTATGGGAGCCAGCAGGTGGTGGTTAAGGATGCTGGACTCCTTAATGCTTCTGTCTTTTCCCTTCAGACCCAGATTTAAAGAGCTAGAGTGATAAGGTCAGGCCAACCCAGGATAAATCTCCCTTTGAAAAAGTTAACTGATTAGGGACCTAAGTTCCATCTTTGTCATATAATGTAATTTAACCACTGGAATAATACCATATCATATTCTCAAATCCTGCTCTGATTTAAGGGGAGAGACTTAGGGTATGTACACCATGGGGTACAAATACTGTGCTCCACTTTAGAATTCAGACTCTCATGAAAACTGATATGCCTTTATAGCTAACACATATTAAAAGATTGTTTTGAAAAGGTAGGATGTCCATATTTGGCCACTAATAATGGCATTGTTCTCATGGCACAAACAGTTGGTGATACAGGCAAAAAAACCAATATACTAAACAAAATAAGACACCCCATGATTTTCAAGAATTCAACTTGCGGGACCAGCAGTTAGTGTAATGGCTATGTCACTGAACTCCCATGTAGCCGACTGCGGTTCGAGTCCCGGACCCAGTGGCTTAAACTCACGCCAGGCGCATGTGCGTGTGTGCCCAAGATCCCGAGAGGAGAATGGAGGAGAAGGGATTGTAGCGTGGCCATCCCCCACAGGTGGGGGGGATTTCTTGCTTTCTGTCTCTCTGGGTCTTTCTGGCGAGCACACACGCCCTATAGCAAAGACCTCTCCAAAAAAAAGAGAAAAGAATAGAACTTGCCATCTATCTTCTGCCTAGGCCTTCAAAGCAGCCTTACCTAACATCTTATCAATGCAGGAATCACTTTTCCTTCTGACTTCATTAGTTAAGCGTTCGCTTCTTCCCTATCCATGAGTGTCAAGTTTAATGCCTCACTGAACTTTCCTCCTTCTTTGCCTCTTATGTAGACCTGGGCATACTGAGGAAGCAATACTATTTTGTGGATTGACTTACCAGGTGATCGCCTCTGTTTAGTGGGACTTTATAACGTCTAGCCCGGTTTCTTCAGGAGTGGAGCTGTAGGTCGCCATTAGGGGGCGCTCCTGCAGACCTAGACTTCGCGTCCTTAACGTCTCCGGACCGCTCTCTCTCTCGCAGCTCATCTCTGTGGTTTTCGTTGTGGTTTCGTCCGGAATAGGCGGCGCTTCCGGTTCCGGTGGGGCCGTCCTTAGCGGCGGAGATGGCGGCGACGGCGGCGACAGGGTCTTCGGGCTCTGGAGAGCCCCGGGAAGAGGCTGAAGCCCCGGGGCCCTCCTGGGATGAATCCCAACTGCGCAGCTATAGCTTCCCAACCCGGCCCATCCCGCGTCTGAGTCAGAGCGACCCCCGTGCGGAGGAGCTTATCGAGAATGAGGTGGGGGGCGGGGCCGTGTTCCGAGGGAGGAGGGACCCAGATGGGGGACAGGTCAGGGGCTGGCCGGGGTGTGGACTGGGGCCTAGGGGGAGGCGGAGAGGGAGGCGAGGAGAAAGGGACCTTGAGAGATTGGTGCTGGTTAACGGGAGAAGTTACTCTGAAGTTGGGAAGTTGTTGGACTCCCAGGAAAGCCTGCCCACTCCTGGGATTACTTTGTTTTTTCACCTGGTGTTTTCGCTTAGGAGCCTGTAGTGCTGACCGACACAAACCTTGTGTATCCTGCCCTGAAGTGGGACCTCGAATACCTGCAAGAGAATATCGGCAACGGAGACTTCTCTGTGTACAGCGCCAGCACCCACAAGTTCTTGTACTACGATGAGAAGAAGATGGCTAATTTCCAGAACTTTAAGCCAAGGTCCAACAGGGAGGAAATGAAATTTCACGAGTTTGTGGAGAAGCTGCAGGATATACAGCAGCGAGGAGGGGAAGAGAGGTAAGTTCCTAGATCTTGGCTTTTCCATTGGCTAGGGCATCATTTTTTCCTCCTGTGTTTGTTTGAAGGTGTGGCAGCGGTGGGTGAGTAGAGATTGACATCTCCTATCTCTGGATTCTGCTGAATGAATGGTCTGTTCTTCCAGCCTATAAGAGGTTTGTGTTGTTCTTAGTGGTTCTTGCAGCTGCAGTCAGCCACTTCTCCTGCTTGAGGGATGAGGAAATGATTACACTTGAACTCTGAGTCTCTGGTTTCTTCTATTAAAGTGACAGTCACAGTTGCTTCGGAGGGTCAGGCAGGTGAATGAAATGAGTGAATTTGTCTGAGTGGAAACCATAATGAAGCTGAAGGTGCATGCCCTGTTCAGAGTGAGAAGCAGTTCCTTGATGTGCTTGTTTCTATTTGGGAAAGCAGTCCCAGGGTTGCCATATTTTAAATCTTTTGACTTTTGAGGCTGGCAGGCTCCCACTTGGCCGACTGTAGTTTGAGTACTGGATGTTGTGACTTGCTTTCTCATTTATTCTCTCTCTCTTTCACTCTCTCACTCCGTCCCTCTCTGGTCAAATCAAAATAAAGTTATTTTTTTTTTAAATTAAAATATGAAAAAATTAAAATCTTTTGACTTTTTTTTCTTTTTTTTGGAGAAGTTTTTGCTATAGGGCGCGTGTGCTCGCCAGACAGAAACAGAGAGATAGAAAGCGAGAAATCACCCCCCAAGGGGGATGGCCATGCCGCAATCCCTTCTCCATTCTCCTCTCAGGATCTTGGGCACGCATGCACACGTGCCCGGCATGAGTTTAAGCCACCGGGTCCGGGACGCGAACTGCGGTCGACTATGTGGGAGTCCAGCGACATAGCCATTATGCTAACCGCTGGTCCCAAAATCTTTTGACTTTTGAATGTTGGCAGCTCATTTAGATTTTTTTTTTTTTGAAAAGCTGCATGAGGGTACCAGCAGATAGCATAATGGTCCATTTGGACCATCGCTGGACTCCCAGCGACGACTGCATTTTGAGTCCTGGACCCAGGGCTTAACACCAGGCACGTGTGCATGTGCGCCCAGGATCCCAAGAGGAGAAGGGCAGCCTAGCCATCCCCCTTGTTGGGGGAAGGGGTTATTTCTTCCTTTCTCTCTCTGTCTCTCCAGTGAGCACACATGCCCTATAGCAAAAATCTCCCTCCAGGGGGAAAAAGGAAAGGAAGCTGCATGGTGCCAAACAAAATGTCTGCGTAGATTTAGTTTTGAAATAACCAGTTTGCAGCCTCTGTCCTTTGTACTGGCTTGCCGGTTTAAGCTGAAAAGCTGTTCGTTAGGATTGTGGGGATAAAGGATACCTAGGAAAAATCAGATTAAGTTGGGGGTGGTGTCTTAGTGTTCCACATTGTGCTGGTGGTGGTAAACACAAGACACGTGAGAGTAATCATGTTTCTCTGCTTTTATCCCTTTTTAGAAGGTGAGCCTCTTGTGTAGGTCCCAGTCTACATTCAGTCCCACACTGTAATTGCCTCTGGGGAAGTGCTTTCACTGAGTACTTCATGGTGAATGGCCAGCTCTCCTTTGGTACTAACTGAGGTTTCCTCTATTGAAGCAGGGGTGCTTCAGCTGTCTGCTGGCTCCGCCTGCTATGCCAACCAGGTGAATAGATTTGAAGTATCCTTTTTTTTGTACTTTTTGACATTCAGCTATTGTCATGATGCTGGGACTTTAACTAAGTCAAAGAGTTTCCTGGAAGTCGTGAACTGTGGTTATTCTGTCCTTTATGTCTTATAAAGACTGTTTCATTGAGTCATCTCATGCATTTTCTCAAATTTAAACGCAGCATGTGTATATACACACACACATCCACATCCAGTATTGAAAGATTGATTTAAATAGTACTGGTGGAGTGTGTAATTCTGTTGAATGAACATGTGCCTAGACTGAGTATAAGACATTTGAATCTTCAGGTTTCTCAGTCATTCGAAGTTTCTTGCCTCCTGTGGTGAGAACATTTTGCCTCACTGAGTATGAGCCGTACGTGTAGCCTGCACTTTATGAATGATTTTAAATGAAAATTTTTGTTTTACAAAATGTGCAAATGTTGCCCTGTTAGCTGGCTTTAACACCCTAACAGCATTGTGATTGTATAGGTGTTTGTGATTGTGGAATAAAAAGTATTAGGGCACTCTGAGCTATTTTGATCAGTTACTGTTTAGGATAAATAGGAATGCTGTTTAGAGTAATGTTTCAGGAATGTTCCTGATTCTTTCTAAGTCACTTGCAAAAGTTTTGGGTGAATATGTATTTTATAATCTCTGGTGAGAGCCTAAAGGTTACATAGAAGTCTTGAGGGTCCCATGTCCCCCAAAAGGTAGCTAGTATTTCTAACTCATCAAGATTTCTACTTAACATTGCCTTAAACGTTATGGTTCTAGGCAGTGAGGTATGTCTTTGAACTTTTGAAGTAATGTTATCAGGACCAGCCACTTTTGCCTTCGCCCCCAGCCACTTTTGCCTTTTTTTTTTTTTTTTCTTCAGGTTTGCCCGTTCATGAAGGATCAAGTGTGTCAGGTTTTTATGTCCCTTAAGTGACTCCTGACCATCCACAGCTATTTAGGGACTTCAAGCCTGCATCAGGTCTTCCTTCAGCTGCAGGGGTTAGGTGGCTGTATTGGTCAGGATAAACCAGGCTTCCAGCCAGAACTTAGGAACTTGAAATAACAAAGGTTTATTCCTCTGTGTCCATTATGGGTCACATTTTATTTTCCTATTGTCTTGTTCGCTCTGAGACCCAGATTGCCCCAGCAGCTGCTATCTGGAATTTTGTAGTTGCTGTGGCTGGGGGAAAGAAAAAAACTGCTGCTTAAGATCACAATTGGGGGGCTGGCAGGTGGCATGGTAGTTGTGATGCTGGACTCCCACATGGCTGACCACAGTTCGAGTCCTAGACCTGGTGGCTTGCTTTCTCACTTTCTTTCTCTCTCCGGTGAATGCATGTGCGGTATAACAAACAAAATAATAATAGTAATAAATAAAATAAATAATAACTTTTTAAAAATTGCAATTGGAAGCAACGCAAGTCACTTCTGTAGATATTTCATTGACCGAAGCAAGTTAAATAAGCAAGCCTGGCTTAACAGGGTAGGGAAGAATACTCCCACAGTGAGGGAACGAACACCTGTTGGTAAATAGTACAGTCTTCCACAGTGGCCCTCAAGGAGCAGAAATGTTTCAGACTGTGAGACTCTCTGGAGGAAGGCTGATTCACCATTTAGTGTCTGTGGAGAGGCTGCCAGGAGCCTATGTAATTATATGGAAAGTCTGTGTTTGTAAAGTATCTTCAAAAAATTTGTAGAAAATGGTACTGTTGAGTCATCAGGAAAGTCATGCCATATTTTTGCATAGAAAACAACCTAGTATTAAACTTTGCATGGATTTTAAAACTTCTGCACCAAAACAAACTTGTACTTTAATTTCATTTTCTGTGAACTTTTTCTTTCCCTTCAATTTCCAAAGGTTGTACTTGCCAGGGAGAGAGAGACTAATAGAGAAAGTACCCATCAGTGGAACATGATCATTCTGCGATCCTTTTTCCTCCATTTCTCTATCCTGTCAAGAATTTGGATATACATGCACATTCATCTGGCATGTGTTTCAAGCTGCTGGATTGGGACTCAAACTACTGTCAGCCATGTGAGATCCAGCCTTCTGTGCACAGTGCTCAATTGTGCTTTGGGGCTGCCCTCTGTGACTTCCCGAAGCCCCCTGGTGTGTCTATTTTCATAGGGAATCTTTGTTGGTTTCTCTTTTTTTAATATTTATTTAATTTTATTTATTAATTCATTTAATTTTCATTTGACGAGGGAAAGACAGACACACAGAGAGAAGGAAAGTGAGAAAGCAAGCCATCAGGTTCAGGACTTGAACTGTAGTCGGCTGTGTGAGAGTGTCCAGTGCCTTAACCACCATGCCAGCTGCCGGCCCGGGAATCTTTGTTGAAAGGAGTTCTATAACTGAGAAAAGTTTGAGAATCACTTTTTTTTGTCCTTAAGAGGTTTTTGCTGTAGGACGCGTGTGTTCAGAGAGACAGAAAGACAGAAAACGAGAAATCACCCCCCAGGGGGGATGGCCATGACACATTCCCTTCTCCCTTCTCCTCTTGGGGTTTTGAGCATGCACGCACACTCATCCAGCATGAGTTTTAAGACACTGGGACCAGGACTCAAACCGCAGTCAACCACATGGAAGACCAGTGGTGTAACCATTACGCCATCTGCTGGTCCTTGAGAGTAACTTCTTAAAGTTAACAGTGGTGTTGAAAGGAGCTCAAAAAGGATAGGTAAGAGTTCAGACTTCATCCTGACTAAGATTTGCAGAGCTGCGTCTGTTCTCTGTTGGAGATGACCTTGTGGATCGGGGTTTATACTGTCAGGTGGGAGGCCATGCTAGGGACTGTGTGTATGTGGACTAATGGAATATTCTTCTTGGGGAATGTAGGTTGTATCTGCAGCAGACGCTCAATGACACCGTGGGCAGGAAGATTGTCATGGACTTCTTGGGTTTTAACTGGAACTGGATTAATAAGCAACAGGGAAAGCGCGGCTGGGGGCAGCTGACCTCCAACCTGCTGCTCATTGGCATGCAAGGTAAGAAGTCTCAGAAAGCAGCATGGCTTGGAGTCGTTCAGACCGGATTTCTCATCCTGTCACCACCACTGACTTGCTTTATAACCGAATGTGTCATTTAACTTTCTTAAGCTTTACCCTCCTCATCTGTGAAAGGAGCATGATAATATCTCATAAATAGCTATGGAGAGTAAATGAAATAGTAGATGTTAAGTCTTTAAGCTAGTTTCATGGACCCTAAAAAATGTTCCCTTTTTTTTTTTTCCCCAGTTGCTGTATGAGTACATATGGGGTTGTCAGAAAAGTCATGACATATTTTTCTATGTTTTTTTCTATGCAAAAATGTATCATGACTTTTCCAGTTACCCAGTATATTGAGATATTAGGGACCTTTCTGAAATAGTGCTATTCTCTGTTGGGTCTGTGTGTTCAGATTTTTTATTTTTATTTATTTATTTTTTTTTGAGAGGTTTTTGCCATAGGGCACATGCGCTCGCCAGAAAGACAGAGACAGAGAGATAGAAAGCAAGAAATCACTCCCCCAGGGGGGATGGCCATGCTGCAGTCCCTTCTCCTCCATTCTCTTCTCGGGATCTTGGGTAAGCACATGCGCCTGGTGTGAGTTTAAGCCACTGGGTCCAGGACTTGAACTGTGGTCAACTACGTGGGAGTCCAGCAACATAGCCATTATGCCAACTGCTGGTCCCCAGATTTTTTTTTATCCCAGTGAAAGGGGAAACTTACTTTCCTGATGTAAATTCAGCCTTATTTTTAAATAGATAATGCATTTGTAGGGTGCAAAATTCAAAAGGTCTAAGTGGGTATGTAGTGATAGGCCTCTTTTCCACCCATCTGCCAGTCTCCCAGTTCCCTTCCTGGAAGCACCACATACTATGAGTTCTTGTGTTTCTTGATAGAGAATGTTATGTATACATAGAGAAATAGGTAAGTGGGTTTTTTTGTTTGTTTGTTTGTTTGTTTGTTGTTTTCCTCTTAAGAGGAAAAGCCTTTAAACTCAAATCAAACAAGACGTGCTATTTGTAGGGCAGGTTTTTATTTCATTTCTACTTATGGCATTGAGTGCCAGGCTCATAGTAGGTACTTAGTTAATGGTGAATAGCTGGACGGACAAAGCAGCAGAATCATTTTTCATTGTCATTCACCACTGGGCTCTTAGATCTTTTCTCCTTTGATTGTCCTTTCTTGAGATCTGATCCTTTGCTGCTGGTTTAATAAAGGTTTCCAGCAGTGTAGCTTACGAGTTGGCATTTACTTGCCCCTTTGAAACTGGCTCAGGCTGACCTGCTAGGTCTGATGTACTTGACTCTTGGGTTTTCCTGTTGCCTCCCTTCCCTGTGGTAGCGTGTAGCATACAGGGGAGTAGAGGCCTCTGGTAGGGATGAGAGAGCAGCTCCCCTCTGAGGGTGCACTTGGGCTCTCAGCACTTGGGAAGGCAGCGTCTTGGCAGACCCAGGCAGACCTAGAGAGTGTTTCTGAAACTCCGTGCCCCGCAGAAGGATGTGTTCAACTGAAGGACTACGAAAGGACAACAGCTGTGCCCTAGTTATGAAGGAGTAGTTGGAATAGACAGACATACCTTAGGACAGAACTAATTCAAGGTAGCATTTTAAATATACCTAAAATATTCATATAACACTCTTTTTACTTTTGTATAATATATACAATTGTATCATTGTGTGACCAGCACCAGTGAACTCCATTATTGCTCTAAGAAGTGGCACATGCCACAGGTGTGTTGAGTGGGAGCAAAGGTTGAGAATCTTTGAGCTCTGAAAGATCTACCCAAAGCTGTACATTTTCATACAAGTTAAAATGACTGGTTACCTCCCAAAGTAGATGGTGCATGCATTGTTGATACCAGTCATTTCCATCATTCTAACTGGTTTGCGTCCCTTAAATTCTTGCCATAGTCAAGAAGAGTGCACATATGCACAGTGTATCACTCTGCCAGACTTGCGAGTAGTATTTTGTGTGCTCTTGCCTCCAGTAAGGGCAGCAGCCATCCTTTAGGAAAGTCTCCTTGGCTAGTGGATGGTAGATATAAGGCTAGACTTGTTAGCCGTAATAATGAAACACTAAGTTGCTGAGAGTTGTAATTATGATTTCCCTGATTCTGCCTGAAATTTTGTTTCAGTACCCTTAACTGGGAGGGCAGCTGGGTTTCTTCCCAGCACTGGCCCCTGTGTTCCAGCCTGCGCAGTAGAACGGTACTGCAGATAAGAACATGTCTTTCTCTCTGCAGGAAATGTGACTCCTGCTCACTATGATGAGCAGCAGAACTTCTTTGCTCAGATAAAAGGCTACAAGCGATGCATCTTATTCCCTCCGGATCAGTTTGAGTGCCTCTACCCATACCCAGTCCATCACCCATGTGACAGACAGAGCCAGGTGAGCTTGTGTGGCCTGAGGAGGGTGTAGAACTCTGCATTCTAGGAAGTAACTTCTGGAATCAAAGGCCAGAATATCTTTTTATTCCCTGTGGCTATATGCCAGATTTGGAGCACAGGCTAGTCTTGCCTTACAGACAACCCCAGAAAGTAGTTTTGCAGTGTGATTTTAAATTATAGCATCCTGGGGTGGTTCCCAGGTGTGTACTGGTATAAACAGCCCTGTAGAGCTAATTCTTGGGGGCAGACTCCATGGTTGATGCTGGTAGACTGTGCAGATAAGAACATGTCTTTCTCTCTGCAGGAAATGTGACTCCTGCTCACTATGATGAGCAGCAGAACTTCTTTGCTCAGATAAAAGGCTACAAGCGATGCATCTTATTCCCTCCGGATCAGTTTGAGTGCCTCTACCCATACCCAGTCCATCACCCATGTGACAGACAGAGCCAGGTGAGCTTGTGTGGCCTGAGGAGGGTGTAGAACTCTGCATTCTAGGAAGTAACTTCTGGAATCAAAGGCCAGAATATCTTTTTATTCCCTGTGGCTATATGCCAGATTTGGAGCACAGGCTAGTCTTGCCTTACAGACAACCCCAGAAAGTAGTTTTGCAGTGTGATTTTAAATTATAGCATCCTGGGGTGGTTCCCAGGTGTGTACTGGTATAAACAGCCCTGTAGAGCTAATTCTTGGGGGCAGACTCCATGGTTGATGCTGGTAGACTGGTTTCTCTCTCTGATTGGCTTATAGGTCATGGAACAAAGTGTATATGTCTCTGTTGAATTTAATGGTTTTCTGTCATGGATGCTATTTCTTTTTGATACAGAGATGAGTAAATAAAACTGCCGTACGTTTACTTAGTGTATTTCCTGGATCTAAATGAGGTACATGGTTGACTGTCATCAGCCAGAGATACCCTCTCCTCTCTTAAGAAAGCTGCCTGGCTACTTCATGTAGGAGATGATGCTGGTTAAATATGTTTTAGGGAGAAATTTTTTGAAGGTTTGAGTGAAGGATAAGTCCTACCATCTTGAGGCTCCAGAGGAGGTTGTTTTTTTTGTTTTGTTTTATTTTTGTTTTTGTTTTTTTTTTTAAACCTTAGGAGGACTAGAGCCTAGGTTTTGTTTGTTTGTTTATTTATTTTAAGGGTTTTGCCATAGGGCATGTGTGCTTGCTGGAGAAATACAGAGAGAGAGAGAGAAAGAAAGAGAGAGAGAGAGAGAGAAAGTGAGAAATCACCCTGGGGGCGGGGAGAGGGGAATGGCTATGGCACAATCCTTTTTCCTCATGAGATTTTGGGTGGGTATGCACGCCCACATACCCTGTGTGACTTTCAAGCCTCCAGCTCTGGGGCTCTGAAGTCCAGTGGACCATCTGAGAAAACTAGCACCTTCACCACCGTGCCATCTTTTATCCCCTTGTTTATTTTTAAGTGCCAAAGAGAAAGTACCCCTTACTGGGATATAGTCATGCCATGACCCCTTCCAGTTCTTCACCATGGATTTTTGGCACACATCACACATGCACACACACCTGGCATGTTTTTCAGATCACCAGGGTCAGGATTTGAACCGTGGTCAGCCATGTGGGATCTGGCTCCCCTAACCATTAGGTTATAGGGCCGACCCAAGCCTAGGATTCTTTTTCCCCAACATCTGGCATGGACTGTCTTAAAGCATTTTTTAAGAGAGAGTTTCGTACGTGTTGTGTCTTCTGCTGGATAGAAATTCTGAAGATTTTTTCTTAAGGGTTTTTTTTTTTTTTTTGCCCCACCAAAACTAGCACATAGTAGTTAGGTAGAAATAAACTAATTTTTCTTTTCTTTTTTTTGCTTGAACCTTTTAGGTGGACTTTGACAATCCTGACTATGAGAGGTTCCCCAATTTCCGAAATGTGGTCGGTTATGAAACAGTGGTTGGCCCTGGCGATGTTCTTTATATCCCAATGTACTGGTGAGTAGAGGGCCAGGATCGGGGTATCCTGGGAGCTTCCCATTCCCTGGGACATCTTACCTGTGTCCTGAGTTGTGATAGGATTGATCTTACGTGCTCTGCAAAGAGATTGGCCTATCCAGATGTAGCATCGTGACCATGGGGGAAATGACAACCCTATCTCTGGGCTAGGATGACAGTTCCTTAAGTCCAAGGAACTCAGAGGCTTGCAGCTAGAGAAACTATTCTGCGCTCTTTGGTGTCTGGACACAGAACACCAGTGCCTCTAGCCCAGTGTGTATTTTACAGGATGAGTAGTAGAGATGCTGTTTTCACTGCTTCCCCTAACTGGGCTCTACCTCATTTCCCACCCTCTGTAAAGAGTACCGGTGGTGAACAGGGCTGTCTGTTCTCTTGCAGGTGGCATCACATAGAGTCATTACTCGATGGGGGGATTACCATCACTGTGAACTTCTGGTATAAGGTGAATATGGTTGATTTTCTTCCCCCCACCTCAGATGAAACTAAGTAGATGTCATAAATGATTTTGAATGGAATGGGGCAATTGGCTACTCTTGGCCTTTGGGGAGACCGAGAGGGATAAAATTGAATTGGGCTTCATAGATGGGAGGATGGTACTAGGAACAGTGGGGTAACACTGAAGCTTGCTGCTAGAGATATTTCCTGAGCCACTGCTTCCTTTCTAGGGGGCTCCCACCCCTAAGAGAATTGAATATCCTCTCAAAGCTCATCAGAAAGTGGCCATAATGAGAAACATTGAGAAGATGCTTGGAGAGGCCTTGGGAAACCCACAAGAGGTATGTGACTGCCCCGTGGTAGCCCTCCTGTGGCTCATTAGGCGGGTTGACAGGAAGGTTGGATTGGTGTGTGTGACATTCTCTATAGCACCTCTGTCTCAGTCGCTATCTGGTGTCCTCTCTCTTCATAGAGGTTATGGGTATGTTTGGGAAATTCTTATTTTCTGGTGGGAGCTGGGCTTGACTGGCGGATCAATTATAATCTGTTCCATGCTAGTAGTAATGTTTCCCGTGGGGTTTGTGTGCCAGCTGGGAACCCCTGAGGGGATTCTTCTGGAATGGGAAGCGAGCTTTAAAGCATCTCCCTGCATTCACTCAGCTGTGCCAAGGCTGCTGTAGGTGATGTTGAGACCTGCTTCCCATGCAGGTGTGCCCGTGGTCCATCAGGTAAACAGGGACTGTGGGCGGTCTCTGTTGGTACTGCTCTTGCCTCCTTCCTTCCCGTGGATAGCCTCGGCATCCACAGGTACGTGTGGGGTTGGAAGACGGCAGCATCCTCAGTTGCAGTGACCTTTTGTTGAGACATATGACGTCCTTAAGGCACATTGGAGGAACATGCAGACACTGTCAGACATTCAGAGATTATTAGCTCCTCTGACCTCCTCATTTTAAAAAACTTGTTTTTATTGATCATTATTATTATTATTATTATTATTATTATTATTTTAATTTTCTACAGAGCACAGGCACTCACCAGAGAGACAGAAAGAGAGAGAGGGAAAGTGAGAAAGTAAACCACGCCACCGGCCGACCGTGTGGGAGTCCAGTGCCCCAACCACCACGCCACCTGCTCTCTCTTCTGACTCCTTTTTGTTTTGTTTTAAAGAATTATTTAATTCCAATTGCTAATTTTTAAAAAGAATTATTCTTTTAATTTTATTTATTATTTTTAAATTCAACTGGAGAAATTGAGAGAGAGAGAGAGAGAGAGAGGGAGGGAGGAAAAGTGAGAAAGGAAGCCACCAGGTCCAGAACTCGAACCATGGTTGGCCATGTGGGAGTCCAGCATCCCTGCCATCATGCCACCTGCCAGCCTTCTCTGACTCCTCTTTTAAGTTCTATGCTCCTTACAGTTAGAGGATGATGAGAGAGGAAAGGTAATACAAGTTGGCCCCACAGAGCAGGCCCTGCCCCAGAATATAGAGTTGGTCTTCAGGAAGGGAGTTGACTAGAGCATTCACAAGATTGAAAGAAAGCTTTGTCCCTGTCCTCAACTGGACATCGAACGTCTCCAGACACACCTGTCCAGCTCCATTGCCGGGCACAGGCATTTCTGATTGACTCCTCGTGTCTCTTTACAGGTCGGGCCCTTGTTGAACACAATGATCAAGGGCCGATACAACTAGCCTGCCAGGGGTCAAGACCTCCTGCCAGGTGACTGCTATCCCGTCCACACCGCTTCACTGATGAGGACAGGAGACTCCAAGCGCTAGTATTGCACGCTGCACTTAATGGACTGGACTCTTGCCATGGCCCTGGAGGCAGGTGTTTGAGGCGAGGCAGGGCGGTCGGCACTCCGCTCCCACTTGGAGGGACTTCTTACCCTTGCCTCATGTGCCCAGGCACCTTCTCTCTCTGCCCCCCTAAAGTCCTGCATTCAGTGTGTGGAGTTCCAGCTTCTGGTTGTCATCATGTCTGTATGTGTTAGTCTGTCAACCTTGGAAAGTGTGTGTGTGCTGCACACGCACACATGTTTCTGTTCCCAGTTCCCCGTTTCTGGGTCGGGATGTCACCTCTGGCTCTCAGCCCTAACCTCTGCAACCTCAGTGCCTCAGCCTGAGAGAGGGGAGGCCCCTACTGCATCTGGGCTGCAGGGTCAGGCCTAATCTGACCACTAGGTCAGTCGCCTCCTTCCAGTTTCTACATATTCAGGCTCTAGGCTGGGTGGGCATGTCTACTGGGGCTCTAATGGGAGGAGAAGAGGGAGGCTTGCCTTTGGAGCTAGATGGCCTTCCTCTGAGAGAGGATCAGATCGGTTCTCAGCTGGGACCTACAAGCTCAAGCCATACATAGGAAACCCTGGAACACAACCAAGGGTTGTGCGTAAGTTCCAGATTACTGACACATACGCCTTCTCTCTTTCAGCCCTAGTTCTTGCCTCAGAGCTGAGTACCAAGGGAGTTTGAGCTCTGGCTTCTCTAGGTTCTAGGGGGGAAGCTGTGTGTGTGTGTGTGTGTGTGTGTGTGTGTGTGTACACATTCACACACTCATATGCGCGTTGAATACTTTTACTATTTTACTATTAGTATTTCAAAAGCATAAGTAGCCGGTGATGTGGTAAGAATCCTGGGAGAGAGAGAGAGTTTTAGTTTGAAAGGCTTCATACCATGGCACAGAATATGCAGTGAATAAGTATATTTTAAATGAATGTAGCCTAGACTTTTAGAAAATAGCCTTCTGGGGAGGTGTGTGTGTGTGGGTGTGTGTGTGTGTGTGTGTACACATTCACACACTCGTATGCGTGTGTGTGCACACTGGCCAACTTCTGCTTGCCAAGGTTCTCCACTGCTTGCTTCGTCCAGTGGGACAGTACAGTGTGAGCCCCAGGAAGCCCTGCCTGACCTAGCCTAAAGCTTTTTAACTTGGATTTCAGCCATCCTGTGTTGGTCAGTCTCATTGCCATCTGCCTGAGGCTGACTGACTAGAGCCTCCAGGCCCTATGACCCTCCCTGCCCAGGCCACATCCTCTACTCCTGCTGAGCTTCTTGGCTGAGTAGATGAAATGGGGTCGAGCTTAGGCAGCTAACTTAACTACCTGTCATCCACCTCAGGGCAAGGACAGAAATGTAGCCTTGCCTTCTTCTAAAGCCAGCGCCTCTGCCAGACCCCTATGTAATGTTCCACAACACCCTTAGTAGTCAGGGCAACCAGTAGAACACAGAAGTAGAATTTTCTTTCTTTAGTACCTTCTCACAGGAACCCCTCTCAGGGCTGCAGCTCACAGCTGGGCAGCTGTGTATTGCACAACCCGAAGGGCCTCATTCTTCTCGAGTCTGTGGGTGGTGTGTGGCCCTGCGTTTCCCTTCTACTCCCACCCTCATCCCCTTTTCTCTTTTTCTTTTTCTTTTTTTGGCCAAAGGTTTACTTGCAGTGTCTGAACTATGGTTCTCACCCCCAAAGCTCAGTTTACAGGACACTCAAGGACTGAGAGGATTTGTGTATGTGGTGTGCCTGTGTATTTTAGTCGGGGTGTTTATTTCAGTACCCACCCTGGGGTTCTCTGATGCAGTGTGGGTTTGAAGGCACCGTACCTTCCCCGGTGTCGCTCGTCCGATGGCC